AAGATTAAGGAAGAAGCAACTGTAGCACAGTCAGAGATCATATGATTCCTAGACATACAGCAGGAAACCAGTGAAAATCCAAGTTGACACCAAAAAGTGTGGAAGTAAAGGAGGAACAAGGCAAGCAAGGAGAAGAATAAAAATGAAGATACGATGGGGTACCCAAAAGAAACTGAACTAATTTTTTTGTGGGCAGAGCTTTTGTAGCACCGTGTTTTGCCGCTATGAGCGCATAGAGCTAACATTTCTGAGTCGATAAGCCGACTACCGTTGTTTCAGAAGGTAAGGACTAGTTTCGGCAGAGTTTATAGTGGCAACTGTTTTGTGTGATCGTCGTTTTTGCAATGGTCCAAACACATGAAAATGCTGAAAAAATTCGTGAAATCGTCAAGGAAGATCGATGACGGACCATTTAAGAAATTGTGGAGTNTGTCGGGAGTGACTTGGAGCTCAGTTCAGCGAATTCTGACAGAAGATTTGGGAAAGAAAAAGGTGGCTGCGAAATTCGTGCCACGACTGCTGACTGATGAACAAAAACAAGGTCGCGTGGAAGCATGCTGCGCTTTGAAAGAAGAGTCCCGAAATGATCAAAACTTTTTTTTTGTTTCCTCGAATGAAAAGAGACATGAAAGGAAAGCGTTTTGCTGATGTTGCTGAGGTGAAGGAAAAAACGATAGAGGCGCTGTCAAGCATCTCAAAAGATGAATTTAGACAATGTTTTGAAAAATGGAATAAAAGACTAGACAAGTGTATTAGTGTAAGTGGAGAGTACTTTGAAGGGGATTGAAGGTTTGTGCTTAAAATTTGAATAAACAAGTTTAAAAAAAATAAGTTCGGTTTCTTTTGGGTACCCCGTCGTATATAGATTCAGAATGGAGAAGAAGTTATTGAAAATGAAGCTGCTTTACACTTGCGAAATAAATGTAAAGACTAAATCTCTGTGAAGCTGATTTGAAGAAAATTCATCTTCTGGAATGTGACGCCATGTAGATCTTGTATGAACCAACATTTCAGAGGAACGTATCACCTTCATCTTCGGGGTAGAAAAATCCATAAGCGAGGAACCAGCATGAGCCGGTGGCTGCAGACTCACACTGGTACCTTGCTCATGAATTTTTCTGCCCTGAATATGGAGACAATACCTTCCTCCAAAACGTCAGTTCACATAAGATCTACAAGGCACCTCATCCTAGAATACAGCATTCTTCATAGTCACCACCATGAAAACCTCAAATCTGACACAGTTTCACAGATGTCCAGCTTAAACAAAATAAGGACTAAAGCTACAATAAAGATAAGAGTAGAAGATGTAGACAAGCAGAATTTTTGTGCATGACAACTGATTAACAATTTTGGACAAAATGGCACATTAGATATATTCTATAATAAAGCTTTCTGCAAGTATTCAGTGAATGTAAACGTTTTCTTGCAACAGTCTTAGACAAAAATGAACTTAAGGTTCTGGAATTACAGGCAATGGTAAGCATTTCCAGGATATATAGGATAACTGATGAAATTATCAAATCTGAATCCACCATGTTCTCTGTGCTTGCTTATGAAAGACACTACATCAGAAGAATATTCAAGGAAACATCATCCCATATCACTCTATGTGAACTGTACAATGAATTCAGCAATAAAGAATCAAATGCTTAATTTTGTCAAACATGAGACAAAACAGTATTAAAATTGGACTACCTGAAGGAGGGGAAAAGATCTAAGCTGCAAGGAAACACAGAACACAAACAGTAGGACAAAGCCAGTACAGCTTATCTGCAAACAAGCATTTGACAAGGATGTCACAGAGGTACCTGTGAAAGAAAAGCATCACCTTCTACTGCAGCAATATTTGCTAACTATTGAATGTGGTATGAAGGTCAAGCTGCTAGAGGAGCAAACAAAGTGATTCCTGCCTGTTCAAGTATCTGGTGAACCTTCATTCTGATATTAAGCACACTAGATGGGCAAAACAAGAACACTCATACATTGATAATGTGCATGGTCACACTTCAAGACAGCTTCAGTCTTCAGTAAAGTGACCAGAAATATGTAGTTCCTGACAACACTCATATTGAGTGCAAATGAATTCACAGAGTGACTGATAAAAACAGAAGGAAGGAAGAAAGGAAGGAGGGAAGGTGTTCTGATTCATTATTCTCATAACTGCATGACTGATAACCTTGCAGGAGAGAAAATTCTTTTTTAAGATCTACCACTTGTACACAAAATAGAATTTATTATTCACAAGCCAGACACAAATGGAGGGAAATTTGTGCTGGAAAAATCAAGTGATTTCATTTTTAAGCAACGGTTCTTTTTTCGTTCAAAAGACGCTATGAACAGTGACGGAACATTATGGACTGGCATATTTCTTCCACCTGCACACCACAAAGAAAAATTCTGAAGAAAACTTGGGTATTCTGCAGCTAATCTAATAACTTCTGAAATTTTATTAGATTATGTGCAGAGCACCTGAGTCAAAAGGGACTTTTACAGGAACTTCAAGGATAACTCTGATACTTATCCAGATTCAACAAACAATGAAAAAGAAAAATATTTTTAGTTTTATACATATGTACAACATAAAGAAAGTCTGACTGCTTTTATATACTTCTGACAAGAGTGATTTTATTTTAGAATACATTCAGCTCCTATTTTGTTTCCATCTTTATCATTCATGTAATCTTGTACCTGTAGTAAAATAACTTCTCTTGTAATAATGCTCTACTTAAAAACTGCATCATCAGAACCTAACAACTGTAAAAATGTGCAGGCTGGTGTTATGGTAACAATACAGACTTTAATTCAGGATGCAACTGGTTCAAATTTTAGCTACAACATCATGGTCTTTGTTAGTCCTTTTAGGAAACTGACAGGATAGTACCTTGATTAGGCCATACCAGCTTCCTTCCAAATCCTTTTCAATTCATCAATCATCCTGCAATTTGATGCTATATAGCGTAGGTGAATGTATGAGGGGTAGGCCTGCTCAGAACTTGCACTGCGACCTACAGTGGTCTATTGTGCTTATATAGCGAAAAAACTGTATACAAGATGATAAAATGAAATTGAGTATGTGTAAAACTGGTTAAGTCATAGAAAATTACAGAGCCCCTCTATAATAACAGAATTAAATACTGTAAATCAATAATAAATCAACGATCACTGCATAGGTTTCTACTTCAATAGCCAACGAACAGGTTTTGGTATAAAAACAACAGTTTTCAGTAACAGAAGATTTGATTCAGTGTTTTAACATTTCTATTTCCAGCATGTCAGACTTAACCTTCTTTGCAATTGAAAATGCCATTTTTTGCAAAATATATATAATAAAATTTAAAAATGGCAACATCAGTGTCATATTCCAACATACAAACAACATTAAAACATTTATTTGCTGCAAATTCAACTGGTAACAAAGGCTGGATTTTAACTGAGAATCATAAGTAGGCAGCTTGTCACCGTCACCAATACAAACAATTCTGATGCAAATATGAGACAGTGACTGGCAGACTGTGGGAGATTATTCAGGTATGCCATGCTGCTGTAAACTGCTGATTCACATTACACTTAGAAACCATGGGCTTAAAGAACATGAAGATCAGCGGCATACCATATAGTGTCATCTGCTTGGAATCATGATGATTTGTCGTTGCTAGTTATTGAAGAATTCAAATCTAAGCCCTCAGTTTGTAAGTCAAACTTTCTGGTGTCAGGGTTGAATAGCGGGTGCTTGAACCTACAGTGGGTTCGCAGATTGTCGCTACGTGTGTATGTAGCCCGACACAGTGGGCACTCGAACCTCCCTGGGAAGTGAACATGATAGTGGTTGCGAATGTGGGTTACAACTTTGCCACAAAGTTTACATCGGTGCAAGTTGGAGTAGCCTGGAAGCTTGTCAAATGTAAGTCTCATGTGCCAGGCTTTTGACCCTGCAACAGGAAAAACTCTGTGTCACTAAAGTTGTGAAATGCTCATGAATGAAAATTTCATTTTAGGGTCCTTTTATTATATACACATCAAAATAATATTCAAAGGAACTGCAGCAATGCTTTCACAGGAATGCATGGTATTAATTAGTGGAAAAATTTATGAATTCTATTACATGCTATTATTTGTGGATTTCTGTAGGCATTACTGGGATGACACAAACTTACTTCAACATTTGCAGCTAATTTAACACACTTAAATAATTTACAACTTGCAATATTAACTTGCAGTATCAAAATGTTCAAAGTTGAGCACTAGACAGGTTTATTAAAAATGTTTCTTGCAAAACAGCTTTCAAACACAATGAATCCTATTTTTATGTTGTGACACTGTTCAAATTTACCATACCATAAATACAGCTATTTTTATGACATAAGTCTTGATTTGACTGCAGCATAAAGAGCCAGAATTTCAAACTGATAATTGATTTCTTTACAAGAAAAAACTCTGCTAAACAGTTTTCTTCTGATGATGATCATTATTATCTTCCATAAATTTAATTTGTAGTTTGCAATATTTAATGATAAATATGTAATATATAAAATATTCTAAGGATAAAAATTATGTATTTCATCTTTTCCAATATCAGACATTTCTTTGCTGGAACAAAGAAAGAAACCAACAATGGAACCATAACACAATACATAATCTGATAACTATCTGATAACTTTTGGTTTTCCATTTGTTAATACTTGCATATGGCCCCTGAAAAGTGGTATACAACTTATTATTACTTAGATACCTACTTAAAGAAAGGGTGAAAAGAAATAATTTACACATCACAATTACAAGCATCATATTTATTACCCCTCAAAACAGAAGCTAACACATACAATGAAGTGCATACATAACTTCTATAGGTACTGTACATAGAATGAGACTTCAAATATTCTATTACATGATATGCATGCAAGTAGGGATTCATGAAACCATACAATTATACTCTTTACTAAAATAAAATACTGTTTCTCAAAAAAATATATAAAAATTCAGTCATTACCTGTATCTAAGCAGCATTTACCATATTAATTAATCAGGAAATTAAGCACTGTTACATACTAAGAAAATCCAGATTTTTTATACATTTTCATTTGAAAAATCTGACATTATTATAATTTTCACTACACTTCATATGTTGCACTTAAGTCAAGAATACTAAGAAGAGTTATATAAGAAATTGCAGATGATCTCCAATCTTACTTCGTGATAAAGTTTATACTAATAGTAACAAATTCCAGTCTGTGAACAGCATTTTGTGCTATGGGTGAACATGTAATAAGAGCCCTAAATACGCTTCCTTTCTTAGATAAATCATTTGCATCTCGTCATTCAACACTGTATTTCAGAATTATTGGGTTTTTGGACTTTTTCCATCATCCGGATTCTAGGTAAGAGAGGACACGATGTTTCCCAAAATGGATTTGTTTTCGTCTTCAGGTGAGAAAGGAGGACCCCACTTAGTTGGGCCCCTTAGAAAGAGCTAATCTCAATCACTGAGTAGGTGTCTTCTTTTCTCACCTGAAGACGCAAACAGATCCAGTTTCTGAAACGTCCTGTCCTCTGTTACTTAGAATGCGGACAATGGAAAAGGTCCAGAAACCCAGTAATTCTGTGTGTCATCCACCATCATCAGAACCCTTTAGAATCAACATCGTATTTGTTTGCTTATTTGTGAGTCATTTAACAACTTACATAATGCTGAAGGGATGGATGGTATATGGGAGATAATTTGCAAAGAATTTGGATGGAAGCAGTTGTGGCCTGGTTATGGTACTACCCCAGCATATTTCTCAAGAGACTAAAGAAAAAAACAAAAAAGAAAGTCAGAATAGCCGGTGACCTGGCTGAGGTATGAACTGAGTTCCTCTCAACATTTTACTCAGGCATGTTAAGCACAATGCTTATTGCCAAGCTTTCCAACTACTATGATTTTCCATTTTTGTCACTTAGGACTTGTGGGGTAAACACTTGGTTAGACAGAAATTCCTCAATGTAATGACACAATATTACTCACAGTACTCAACAGCTGACCCTTTCTAGGACTGACATTTCTCTGAATGATCTGTGTGTTCACATTCCAAAAGCACCATTCATATATCACATTATACTCTAAAAGAGAACAGCTCTTCAAATTGAGGTTCTGTCAATGTACGTTATACAGAAACCATTCTTTCCCAAAGAGGTCTGCCTTCTGGGATATAACATCAGGTAGTCTGTCGAAAGTCAACTGATATTTCTGAGGAACACGTCATCTCATCTTCAAGTTCAAAGTGTAAGACAAACATGAAACCTGCATGAAGAAGGAAGCAAGCAGAGCGAAGACTTGAAACAGATTACATGGTGTTATGTACCAGGAGACAGAACTCATCACAGACACGACTGTGAGGATCTCAATTTCTTTCACACAGTTTATATTATGGTCTCATCTGGCCTACAATCAACATAAGATGTTGTAAACTTATGCAGAATATTTATTCATTCTTTGTGTTCTAATTATGAATCTGAATATGTTGGTTTAGTGATAGTGCTCTCAACTTGTATTTGGGTGGTGTTAAGTTGGGATCTTGGCTGAGACAATGGCTATCCTGACTGACGTTACTACTATAGCAAGTGTCACGTAACTTCAACAAGGCCAAGAGTAACCTTGAATGCGCAGAAGAAAAATTTCAGACACGGGGGTGGGTTCGAGGGTGTGAGAAGTGACAGGTGTCCAGTTGTTTATAAGGCACCCTCGAAGAAGGTTATACTTACGGTTTTTCTATCATCTGTTTAAAAACGTCAGTTTCCTTGTGCGCTAAATCGTAAATTCTTTTCCTCATTACATATGACTATTATATTTTAATTTTCAAAGTATAAATTAGTAATACACATTAAACGTATTTTTCTTTGCATGATGAGTGACAATATATTTGCATTATTGTAATATGTTCCTCGAAAAGAGAATAGGGTAGTTTCAATGAAACATGAGGGGTTGGTGAAAGTGGAAGAACGAGTGTTAAGAAACTCCTCCCACCACAAGCCATGTGCAGGATTTGACTAGGAATGCAGGGTCTTGTTTGAAGTTACTTGACACTGCCTATAACTATCAATCATCTCACCATTTGATGCTATATATTCCAGACACTAACATTGTTGAAAAATAACCAACAAAAAGAAAATAATGAGCTGGGCTCATGGGTACAATGAGAAATCGAAGAGGTACCCAGTAAACCTAGCTTTCTGGTGACACAAGATGGGATTTCATGCCTATTTGTGGAAACTTCCATCACCAAATGAACTCCCTAAAACAAGTTCGGAACAAGCCAAAGTGCCTGCTGATACTCACTGCACATCTCTGGCATATGGTACATGCAGCTCATAGAAAAGGATTATGTCCAACAGGAAGTGAAAATGTTAGCCTCCTGGATTTATTGCATGGGCCATTTCAAAGCATATGGTGATGAAAATCACTATACAGATTCAAATTCAGTATTCAGGAAATGCCACAGGGACAGACACATTACAGTGAATGTTTTATAACATGATTTGCTGCATAAGTGTATGTAAGGAACATAATGGTCATCACTTTCAACAATTTCTCCAATGTCAGTTTGTTTCATGGGTCGAGTCTCTCTTTGAACATACTAAATTTTAATCAGAATGAACATATAAAAGCACAGCAAAGCGAGCCGAGATAATATCCACTGCCCGATGATCATGTAGTACCAGGTTTTACACTGTTCTTAGAACTTTAATCTAAAAGGAAATGCAAGTTCACATTTTTTTTGTTATGAGACAATAAATAGCTATGTTATAAAATGCCATTTAAGGAAATGGGCTTTATATGTATTCCTTAGTCTTGAATCTATTTATATAGATAAGCCACCATGTTTCCATTTTAAATGAGTCTTCATATTGTCCCTTCTTGTAAAGACTTGTTGGCACAAGGGACACTTGAGATTCTGGGGCTTGTGGCTGCGAGTGTGATGCCACCGGTTACTGACAGTTTTGCCACACACCTTACAGTTGTACAGAGCTGGGATATCAGGCACCTTATAATACATGCTCTCATAACCTCGATCCATTTGTTCTTCCAGATATGCTGACATTCTCAAATGTTTTGGAATGGCTGGAACAAAGAGATGAATGACCTTATGTACAGAATGAAATTGTTCTTCTACTGAAACAACACATCACTTGGCCATAAAATTAATTTCATTACAAAAAATTAGACTTCTTACAATGATCTTCAAGCAGAATGGAAATGAACAGTAATTGACCCATTCCTTTCACCTGAAATTAACAGTCTGTCATAAATCAGAATTCTCATGTAGTCTTAACTTTAGAGTATTCTTAATGAATTTCAATTCTCTTAAAATGAATTAAACCAGACAAGACTATACCTATCACACACTATCAGGGTGTTTCGCTCTCATGTGACGCCTTAGGTTGTCCGCACGTGTTGTAGTAGAAAAACAAATGGGACATTGGTGTTTTTCAGGCTGGTGAGTTAAGAAGTGACTTTTCATGTTTGTGACAGCTTTGCCACAAATTTTACAAATTGCCAAGCCACCACCTTTGTGAAAAAATGTAGAAAAGTGTTCAGGTTCTTTCTCTCCCAGTTTCATTTCGAATCCTGTAAGAAAAAAGAAACACCAATGTCACATTCTCTGACTACTTATTTTGGCAAAAGAATTTAACAACCTGAAATCTATTAACTACATCAAGAGAATAAAAGATATTCCCTTAACTTACTTCAATTTTAGATACTAATACAAAAATTACAGCAGAAAATCCTTCATTGTAATTTACTTTCAAAGAACAATATCACATTTCCTATTGTATACAAACAGTTCTGCCTATTATATTGGTTTAGACAACAGCTGTTTAAATGTTAATAATCCGAAGGACTATCATGGCATTTGCCTGGAGTGATTGACAAAAAGCATGAAAAACCCTTGTCATGACAGTAAGCCCAGGGTCAAGATCTAAATCTGGAACCTTTGGAATATGAAGCAGGAACCCACAGAACCACACTGTTTCCACTGCTTATTGTGGAGTCCCATCTATAGCACGTACTCATACCTATATTTTTACAGCACAACTTCCATTCACATGACCTCATGTGTGTAATTTTGCAATAACTATGGAGGTCTTGATATGAACAGACATAGGAATATGTTCTCATTAATTTCACATATGCATCAGTACAATGGTTCTGGTATCTGTAATCATTTCTATATTTTAAATTGTTCACTCCTAACATTAGCTTTCGACATAAATATAGCACAGTTGAAATGAGAATGCTGCCATAGTATTAATGTTGTGACAAAATTCTGTCACAAAATCAACTAACAAGGGATACGAACAGTTAATCAATTAGTATGTGCAGCTGAGAGGTTAGCATTAGTGCTATATATTTGGGAGCCCTAAAGCTTTCCCTGTGATTTTTAACAGTTTGCTAAGTTCCTCCAAGCAAATACTGTGATAGTGGCTTAAAACAGGCCATGACCACTTCCTCCCATGTCCTTCCCAATTCATCATTCATAATATTTCTACCATTCAGTGCTATATTTGCAGATGAGAAAGGCCAGTGAACAATTATACTAAGAAATAAGTACTGATTAACTAGCTTCATAAAAAGCATGCCTGTACCACTAAACATAGTATGAACTACATCTGCAAATGACATGTGGGTCAATTAATACTTCATTTCTTACATGCATCAAAGCATACCAGTGAGTCTGCTTCAAGAACTGTACTTTTCTCATAAATAAACCAAATCAGCCAGTGTGGATTTTAGGGATGGCTAAATAAAACTGAACCCAGTAATACAATTAAATATTTGTCTGTGGCAAGATATTGTGGTAGTAAACATAGAGATACACACAAATGATTTTGCAGCCCACAATTTAAAAATCTGAAATGCTTTTCAATTTATATGTTCTCTCACTCAGATGGTCATAAGGTTGTGACACTAAACCACAGAAATATACACGGACATAAGAAACTTCATTCTGTACACTTTATTATTGTCTGGGAATACGTTCAAATTTGTTTCTTCTTTCAGATGGCCAATTACTTAATCTGTGCTCCTCAATCATGATACATACACCAGATTCACTGCAGTAAATATCTTCCCAAACATGAAAACCAAGTCCTCTTTCTTCCACCCCCCACCCCCCTTGGCTCTCTTCCAGCATGTTTCCAATATTCAGAACTAATGGACCTAGGGCTAGGCGAAGTGCACTGGCTCCACTGCCAAGTCTTGGATGAGACTGACCAGATTCAGTGCAGATTTTTCTGCATGATTCAACAATCACCATTATGAAAGATAAAGGCCTCCAGCTATTCATCACAATCTACATATATTGTAGGTCCCCTCTAACAGCTGTGATCATCATAACTACATCATTGGGAGTAAATGGAATCCTGCACCATAACTGTTACTAACCCAGTACACCCAACCATTGCTATGTGGGCAGAAACCAGGAAAATAAAAATACCATTCATGGAAACATTATAAAATAAAACACACTGACCTCTAGTGCAGAGCAGTGTATCACATGAATTTGTTCTAGTTTTAGAAGAATGTCTCATTTTCTGCTAACAGAATTATGATCTCCTGTAACTTGGCCCTAAATTGCTACAGATATCTCTTTATGACTACCGTTCAAGAGTTTGCAATTAAAGCAGAAGTGATTTGGAGATAAGAGATCATGACATACTGAATGTAATAAGCTTCGCATCACTGCATGAAATGCAGAACAGAAGACCTTTCCTCTCCAAACTAGGAGCTATGAAGAAATATAAGTCCTCCCCCTATTAACAGTAACTCTCGCTCAGATTAACTTATTCTTTCTCTGAGAGATTGATAAACACAAAGTGTTATATCACACCATTAAGAGAAAACATTTTCTTCCACTGTGAAAATGCAGCACAGCTTAAAATGATATCTGTGCACTATGTCTAACAATAAAAATACTATGACTCAATGAATGTAAAATTATATTCATAGTATTTGTGAGTTTCTGGAATCTGTCCATCATCTCGTATCAAATGTAACAGATTCCTGATTATCCATGGTGGATGGGAAATAAATTTCCTTGGATAGCCAGTAAGAGGAATATGTAACTAACCTCTGAATCTGGATTTATAAAACAACACATATTTATAAGTGTGTGTTAATAAAATAACAGTATGTTATAATTGTAATCCTTGATTAATAGGGAAACAAAAAATATAAATATGACTTTTAAGAAAATGAAAGTAAAGAATGAAGAAAGCAGTCTTCTGGGATTTGGCACCATGTATATGTGGTGTTAACCGACGTTTCGGAGGAACTCATCGCCTCCATCTTCAGGGTAGAAGAAAAAATATAAGAAATCTGCAAAGCGAAGAGACCGCGAGAACCGGTAAAAGCAGACAAGAAGTTTATTTGGTCCCCTGATTGCCCTTCCTGAATAGAACACTGTAAGTTTTGAAGTTTCATTTTGTCTAGGAGAGCTGTATCCTCCTGTTGTTCCACACAGTCAATTTTCTAAATAAAACCACATGACACATTCTGCCCCCCCCCCACCAGCCAGTAAACTGGGAGTCTATTGTGCCACCTTCTAGAAGCAAGATCTTTTTCCATCCACAGGTAAAAAGGTGGACAGACACTTACTCACCTCTTCACCTGAGGAAGAAAACAGATCTCATTTCCAAAACTGTTCTCTTTGGAATAACTGATGATGAATTTGTCTAGAAACCTAGCAATCCTAAGTGTAAACACCACCAGTAGAACCCTTTAAACATTATTTTAAAACTAGAGCGACTGTAACAGTACTGCGATTATAATGAAATCCTAGCAGCAGCAAAAAAAAAAAGAAGTCAAATGTAAAACTTTGTGTCATTTTGATTTTCAAGTACAGGGGCACAGGTTCAGAAGGTTATAATACAGACCATTATCAACAGCTAATTTCAAAGTTTAAATTTAGTCTTCTGCAGACATAACTAGACGCAAGATAGAGCACAGGTTATCTCATGACCATTGGGGACAGCAAGACATCATAATACAAAATTCAGCAGAAACTTTTTGATTTATAAGGGCTAGTCATCCATGTCAGGAAGTAGCAAGAGGATGATATAAATCTCAGCAAAATCTGTCGAATGTATCACCCTACTCAGCACTATCAACAAGAAATTTCTTGGCAAACCATAACAATCCACTAGTTTCAACTATTATATTCACTGTACTTGACACTGAGTGACTATTCTCCATTACCAAAAATTAAAAAATGCTATCAAGAAAGTTACTTTTAGAAGTGACAATACAAACTATGATGCAGGAATGAAACACTTCCCCCTTACAACAGAAAGAAGGAAACATTATCACAACTCATGTGTCAATTAATGACTGAGAATGTAATATTTATACAAAGACGATGAGTAATAATTCTAATGTGTTAATTGTTGTTAATCAATTCATCAACAGATTAATCAATAAACTACCTGTTCAGAAGAAACACACTTTTACAAGAATACAAAAAGTAGTTTATTATTAGATTAATAACAAATATGAAACCTGAATATGTGATACTACAACATGTTCAATCAGGACATTATCCAACTGGTCTAGAGACATAGATCAAAAGGTAGATTCAATGATATTGTCACATGATAGGGTGTGTGTGTAACTACAGATGGGTTTTGGAATGCTGACTGGATTTATTGGACTCTTTGATACAGCGCGTGACTACATTTTACAGTTCACTATTTCACACACTCTATTGTTCACAATCATGTCTTCACTGCCGTTGCTTTGCAGCGGCTTTCAACAGTGGATGTTCCTCTTCCTCTGGGTTTCTGAACTGTTCCCGGCCTCAGCTACCAGCTTTTCACAGCAACATCTCACAACAACCGAACTTCAGTAGTTTTCTGACTAACTCACTGACTTTGCCCTGCTTAATCTCCTCATGGACCGTACTGAAAACACTGTTCCTCTGTTGCAGTGCAATTGTTCCCCCAGAAACATGCTTGCTGGTGGAGCTGTTATTTAGCAATGGCTGTTGGACAACTGCTTAATTTGCGGTCATTGCCTAGCAACAGGTCTACATGCCTCAATATTAAGACAAGCCTACAGGTTAA